TACAAACAGGCAAAACACAAGAATTATCTGAAAACAAAGCTGCACTTAACTTATTACAATTATTAATAAAAACCTATGATCTTTGTGATGATGAAGTCTATAACTATTTTGATACAACAAAAACTAAAGATCAGGAAGTTCAAACAGACCCGCGTCCAAAATTAGTATCGTGGCGAAATTCATGTAAATACTGTTACACTATTCTACACTCTACCACAGAATGCCGATGACATAAAAATATAATCAAAACTAACAAAAGCACACAACTCCCTTCTCCAAGTAGAATTCCTGCATTATCTCGACTATTAAAACCTTTCTATAAAAACCGACCAAAATCTACTTATGTATAAATAAAATTTTAGATTTCCCATTCTTTTCATTTTCAGATTCAAAAAGTATCCTCTATTAATTTTGTTACTTCAAAAAACAACCCATTCACAATACATCAATACTCCTTTTCTTCATCCTGGAGGATTACTTTTTGAAAAGGACATTGACTTTAAAATTCTATCCGAAGAATTCCACTTCATCTCCTACCTAAATATTACTCAACTTATTCATGTTAAATATAATATAACGATAATTTATAATGAACTACGCGAAGGTTGTAAAAACTACGATTCACTTGTAGAAGAAACTGAATTTATCGTAAAAGATAGAATGATAAGTAATTTAATAGAAAGAATCTTTAATATCCTACCAAACAGGACAAACGAGTTACCCTTAAATACTAAAAATTTATTTTCACAAATAACAAACAACAATAATATGTTCAATACAAAAGAGAACAACTCACTTTTATATGAAAACAAATTTTTATCAAAAATGTCAGTGAATATATTAAAAATGGAAAACGTAATCGAAATAATATAACAACTTTTTTTAATGTCATACATGAAATTCAAAATACTTATATTAAATTTCTTCTAGATATTCTTGAAAGCCTTATACACATTTCTAATGGATTTTGGGATTCTTTCCTACTTCCCAACATTTTACCAACACCATCAAAAAATAACCCTATCCTTAACATGGAAAACATTTTCTTTTATACATCAAAAATCATACCATTCTCAAGAATTAATCTTCATATTTATAAAAATCACTTAATTTTTAATCTTTCAACACACATACCATCTTCTCCTCAATTTCAATTATTTAAAATACATTCAGTACCTATTCTTACAAAAGATACCAATAAAAACATTTCAATCAATATATTATCTAAACTATCTTATATTGCAATAACAGAAGATAAACAAATATATTTACCAATAACTAACGATTCATTTAAAAAATCTTGTTATAACACAACAGACGGAAATCTGTGTCTTACAAACGCTCCAACATTTTCTACTTTCAAATACCCAAATTGTGAAACAGAATTACTTACTAAACCAATGAGTAATAGATGCAAATACTCAATCAATTTAGAAACACAAAATACTTGGACTCCTCTACAAAGTCATAACGGATGGATTCACTCTCTTCCATACTCAGAAAAAATTCAAATATCATGTCAAAATCTCGAACAACATAACCTACAGTTAGAAAATACTGGGATCTTAAGAATACAACATTCTTGCAATCTAACTCTTCTAAATTCTACATACTCTTTAGAAAATAAACAGTTAAACGAATCTCCTTTTTCATTAGAAGCTTCAGATTCTTTTATCATGCCCTTAATAACAAATTATTTAAATAATTCTAACAAATTATTTACTGAAATAGTTGATAAATTACCAATAAAAGAAGAAATTTCAATTTTACACAAAAAGAATCAAATTTTTAATACTAATATTTCGTATAATTTAGAAGAAATTTTTATTATTATATTAATAATAGTAATACTTCTTTTAATAATTTTACTAATATTTCTAAAGAAACGAAATAATACAATAAAAAGCATGAAAGGCATTAAAAGAAAAACGAAACAAAATAAAGTATCATCAGTAACAGAAACCAATTATGAATGCTTAAAAGACATAGAATTTCAATTTAACCCTCAAAACACTGAAGAAGAGAAATAAATTTTTCTTTTATTTTTTTTAGCATGTCAAACACTTCAGATAAAACAGGAACAACATCTACAATTCCTTGTATAACAGAAATATACAGTAATGTATCCTTCAAAGAATTTGAACCACCAACCGGACAACAAAATATCGTAGAACTTTTGTAATTTTTTGCCTTTGAATATCAACTTCCTATACCAAAAATTTCAATGATAATTGAGAAAAGAAGAGATTGTCTACCATTATTTACGGTTTCCATCTCAATTGACAACAAAATAGCTAGAGAAAAAGCATATTCAAAAATTTTAGCCGGTCAATATGCTGCATTTCGCCTTTTTGAAAATTTTGTTAACACCTACGACATAATAAATGATGAAAATATATCTCAGAACATTGCTTTAAAAACACAAGAAAAAAGTACACAAACTGACTCACGACCAAAACTTATACAATGGAAAAATTATTGTAGATACTGTTTTATACAAGGACACAATGTTAGAAATTGCAAATATTTAATTTTTGAACCCAGAAAACCAGTAATACTTTTAGCACAAAAACGAGAATTACACTACTTACTTAATTTTATACGTCAAAAATGGTCAATTTCTATTTTTAATAAAAGATAACTAATATAAATTTTATATTTTCTAGTTCAACTGTCAACCATTCTGCATGTATGGATTGCAAATTAATTTACAGGAATAAAAGGAAAAATTTTTTTTTGGGGTAACATTTTTTTTATATATACTCTTTAAATCATTATACTTCTAACATAATAAAAAAAAGAAAAGAAAAGAAAAGAAACAAAAAATAATAATAAATAAATAATAATAAAAACAAGAATTAAAATAATACAGATGACACTCACCTACAGAGACAAGATTATTACAGAACAGTCTTTTCTTCTCTTTTTTTATTTTTGCTTTCAATCATAAACCTAAAAAACGCATAAATTAACAAATAATTTTATCAACATATAATTTTTATAAATTATCCCTTACTCGAATTAGTTTATTTAGTCTTCCTTTGATTTTCCATTTGCAACCTTTGAAAATAAAGTCTCATCAAGACCTTTATTACTTTTTGAAAGAATTTTTTTTATTTGCTCCGCATAGTTGTTTCTCGTAGATGGGCACAATTCTACCCATCTTAATGGGAAAAATATTTTTTTCACCTTATATATAAAAAAAGGTGCAGAAAAAAGCATTCTTCTTTTTCCATCATAACGAACAAGCCCTCTGTCTACCTAAAATAAAATAAATAAATAAAGATAAACACTCTTTTATTAATATCAACATAAAGAAAACAATATTTTTTTTTACTTACCATCTTTATCTGATTATTTTTTATAATGAAAAATTTTTTATTATAAAAATAAACACCTTTTTGATCTTTTAAAATTTGATCTCCGATGTTTTTTCTTATATGCGCCTGCCGCCCTGCAGCCAAAGTTGACCAAAAACTCGGTCCATATATCCGCTTTCCCCTTATTTTCGTTATTAAAAAGTCATTATCATTTCAGCTAAATTTTTTTGCACATTACTATTTCCCACATCACTTAAAAGTAAATCTAAATCGAAATCAAAATCTTCCATTTTTTTTCAAACGTGCTCTTTCACAAAAAAAATAAAACTGAATCAATAATACAAAAAAAAATCAGAAAGATACACTTGACCTTACCTTTCGCTCGTAAAATTTAGAATTTTTATAGTCCTATCTATTAAAAACCCTAAAAATTTTATCTATTTCGTTATGACACAAATGCAAGAACAACCTGCATTCAAGAGCATTTCTTTTTCCTCTCTCTTATAATTATCAAATATAAAGTCAAAAAAATACATATAAGTAAAATATATATTAATAATTTGTATATGTATATTTAATAAAAAAAATATATATATAAATAAATAAAACAAAAAATAAAAAAAAGCCACGAAACATATAAGTAAAAAAAATATATATATAATAAATATTTTTTTTTTTTTTGATTACATGTATTAATTGAAAGATATTATTTTAACAAAGGTATAAATATTTATTATAAATGTTTTAGTTCTGTTACATATGTTATATAAACGAAGTTATATAGATTATTTTAACGAAGATAGAAATATTTATTACAAATGTTTCAGTTCTTACATATATTATTTAAATGAAGTTACATAGATTATTTGAACAAAGGTTACATTTTTAACAATATTTGTTATAAAAAATTTTATTTTGTTACATAAATTAATTAAGCGACGGTAAGTATATTTTAACATGTTTTATTTTTGATATTTTAATCTTCGATCTTAACTAATACATCAACTCCCTGTCGGATTTCTTTTTTACTTTTAAGGAATTGTTCAATACATGCAAGGCATTCTGATGCCTTGCATCTAGCTGTAACTAATTCTTCTCTGCATAAGTGACAATAGGTAAATATACGATTAATATTGGCAATTGAGTGCCATTCAAAAAATTCTGTGTATTTTTCCTTATCAGTATCGTCTAGGGTTTCGTAACAAAATGAACATAGTCTAACTTCTGTTTTTTCGTTAAAGTATAAAAAGAAAATATAAGATAACAATTTCATGCAGGAGCATGCTAATAATAGGCTATAAGTCGCTGGGTATTCTGTGGGTATTACACCGTCGATTGTTTTATTTGGAATAACTTTTTGAATTTCTTTCGTAGGAATCATTTCGTGTTGTTATTCCTTGTAATCTAAAAAAAAAGTATTTCGTATGTTTATTATGTTGTTTTTATTTATTTATTATTATTATTTTATATATATATATATATATATATATATATATATGATAAGTTATCTTTATTTCAAAAAATAAAAATCTTATTATTATATTTTTAAATTATTTTATCACAATAATTTTCAATACTGCACGCATAATAATATATTTTTAATAAGAAGTAACTAATAAATTTAGAAATAGAAACAAAACTTTTTTGTAATTAATTACTTACTTCATGTCTTTGGTTTAAATAAAAATTAATTTTTTCTTTATAAACGAAAATAATAGAGGTAGTGTACTAAATAATAGGAATTACTCCTATTCCACGTCTTCTCTTCCTATTTGGCCTTCGTTAACTCGTTTTAACTCCCTAAATCCCAGTAGAACATCTCTGATCGGTAGTGGATCCCTTTCTTCCAACTGTATATTCATTTCCGAATCAACTTGTAGATAAATTCTTGGACCTATTACAAATTATTAAAAATTATTATTAATTCCATTTCTCATAAATAAATCCCTGAAATTTTTAGGTCCAAAAAAATTTTTTTGTTAAAGTTATAAACAATTGAAATTTTTTGCAGTCTTATTTTAAAAAATTTTTTTCTCGAATTCCTGTTCATCAATTAAAAAAAAAGTGTTTTTCTCGTCTTAAAATGTACTTTCTAAATATAATTTTTATTTTGTAAAAATTTCATATTTAATAGTATTTTATATTATTCATTTAGAAAATGTTATTAAAAAATAGTGTTCTTGACGTCCTACAGAAAATTAAATTTTTTTTAATTCCCCACACAATTTTGTTTAAGAAACCGTTGAGAAAAAAAAATGAGACTAAAAAAAAATTTCTGAATTTTAGGTGATCCGTTTGAAAAATTCTGACCCCCTTTTAAAAATTTTTTAAGCCTACTTCAGTCTTGAGAAAACAATTCTTTAAATATTTTATGAATTTTTAAAAATTACAAATTTCCTTAAAATATTTCCTGGCCTTCATTTATACTACGTACATTTATGTATTTCAAATCGCTGATTACGAAAATCATAGTGACAATACCAAAAAATTTGATTTTTATTGTTTCACTATAAAAGTTTTTGATTTTTTTCATTTATTAGGTAAAATAAGATTAAGATTAAGATCTTTTTTAGAGCATACAAAACGGTAAACAAAATTTGTGCCAAATCGAAATTATCAAGTCGACGATATATGGGTTTAACATGGAACGCTCCATATATTGTTTTTATTACCACTTATTTCTTTTTTGGCATTTGGAGGCTCGGGATCAACTTTAAGGCACGAAAAATAATTATTATATTATTTTGTTGCATCATTTGGGTCCAAAAAACATACAGGATGATCAACAACAAAAAATAACAATTTTTTACCATATTAGAAATGAAAGTCTGCAAAAAATTAATATTTTAAATATCTATCTTTTTCAGTTTTGATTATTTTTCTTCGCCAGTTTTTTTCACGTTTTTTAAACGATTCTTAAGAATCTCTCATATGGACTTTCAAAATTTTTAATATTTAAAAAAAATATAAAATTTGAGTTAAAACATTATTCCATTATCCTGATAAATATGTATCTTGTTTCACAATTATAAGTATTTTTTATGTTCAAAATGTTTCCACACTTCTTTAATGGTTCATCTAAATCTTTCTCAACAATTTTTCAAAAATTTTACTTTTTCAAAAAATTGACATTTTAAAATGGCAAAAAATTAAAATTTTATTTTTTTGATCATCCTATATTTAAAACATCTTCCAGAAGTCCAATTTCTTTATTTATTAAAACTATTATAATTACCCTGAGTTTGAATTCTTCCAATTATATTTATAGCTGACCCTTTTTCACATTTCAATGTGTTTTTAAAATCAGCAATTCTGACTTCCAACTTAAAATGTCCGTCAGTCACCGAACCGCAAACGAAGGTACCTACATTTCTATTTACTCCAACACTTTGATACACAAACTTACTTTTAATGTAACAAGAGATTTCTGAAAAGAAGCAGTAAGTGAATAAATTATAAAATTTTAACGTACATAAACTTAGCGAAACAACTTCAAAAACCAAAAGTCTTATATAGACCAAAATTTGCCGCTTTTAAGTCGCTAATTAGTTGTGAAAAAAAAAATTTTGTCGCTCTTCAATATTTTTTAAAATAGGGTGCTTTGCTAAGTTTACATAAAGTAAGCGAAGCACCCATTCTAACTCCGTTGTTTACTAAGATTCACAAAATTCTTCTTGACAGAAATTTGCCGTTTTTTTGCCGTAACAAGACCAAATAATTCTTTTTCCAAATACCCAAAAAATTAATTAAAATTATTCAAAAAAATTTAATTAACTTCAAAAAAAAATTTATTAAAAAAATTTTTTTAAATTTAAAAATAAAATTAAGAAAAAAATTTTTATACGAACTGTAAATGAATGTAAATTAAACAACTGCAGATGAATCACATAAGTACAGTAAAAAAATTTGATTCATATAGAAAAAGAATAACTTATTTCTTAAGTTTTACATTAAACTAAATTATATTATTTCATAAGAATTTAAAATCTTAATAGTCAAAGCGACAAAT